CCTATGATAAAAAATTATAGACCTCTACATGCTTTGTAAGTAAGAAAACCTGCAAAATCGGCAGTGTATCAAATACTTGTTCTCCCCACTGTATATACACATACACATACATACATATACCCTTACATATGTATACATACATATAAATACGTATACCTACATATATATACATTTAACATTTAAGTCATATCCTTTTTTTTAAATATAGTTCCCTTTATTACTTTCCAACTCCCTAATTGGAGTAAACTATTGAACAACAACGCTTAGGCCTCTACTTCCAGCTTATACAGTGAGGGGAAAAAAGTATTTGATCCCCTGCTGATTTTGTACGTTTGCCCACTGACAAAGACATGATCAGTATATAATTTTAATGGTAGGTTTATTTGAACAGTGAGAGACAGAATAACAACAAAAAAATCCAGAAAAACGCATGTCAAAAATGTTATAAAATTGATTTGCATTTTAATGAGGGAAATAAGTATTTGACCCCTCTGCAAAACATGACTTAGTACTTGGTGGCAAAACTCTTGTTGGCAATCACAGAGGTCAGACATTTCTTGTAGTTGGCCACCAGGTTTGCACACATCTCAGGAGGGATTTTGTCCCACTCCTCTTTGCAGATCTTCTCCAAGTCATTAAGGTTTCAAGGCTGACATTTGGCAACTCGAACCTTAAGCTCCCTCCACAGATTTTCTATGGGATTAAGGTCTGGAGACTGGCTAGGCCACTCCAGGACCTTAATGTGCTTCTTCTTGAGCCACTCCTTTGTTCCCTTGGCCATGTGTCTTGGGTCATTGTCATGCTGGAATACCCATCCAAGACACATTTTCAATGCCCTGGCTGTGGGAAGGAGGTTCTCACCCACGATTTGACGGTACATGGCCCCGTCCATCGTCCCTTTGATGCGGTGAAGTTGTCCTGTCCCCTTAGCAGAAAAACACCCCCAAAGCATAATGATTCCACATCCATGTTTGACGGTGGGGATGGTGTTCTTGGGGTCATAGGCAGCATTCCTCCTCCTCCAAACACGGCGAGTTGAGTTGATGCCAAAGAGCTCAATTTTGGTCTCATCTGACCACAACACTTTCACCCAGTTCTCCTCTGAATCATTCAGATGTTCATTGGCAAACTTGAGACAGCCCTGTATATGTGCTTTCTTGAGCAGGGGGACCTTGCAGGCGCTGCAGGATTTCAGTCCTTCACGGCGTAGTGTGTTACCAATTGTTTTCTTGGTGACTATGGTCCCAGCTGCCTTGAGATCATTGACAATATCCTCCTGTGTAGTTCTGGGCTGACTCCTCATAATCATTGCAACTCCACGAGGTGAGATCTTGCATGGAGCCCCAGGCCGAGGGAAATTGACAGTCTTTTGTGTTTCTTCCATTTGCGAATAATCACACCAACTGTTGTCACCTTCTCACCAAGCTTCTTGGCGATGGTCTTGTAGCCCATTCCAGTCTTGTGTAGGTCTACAATCTTGTCCCTGACATCCTTGGAGAGCTCGTTGGTCTTGGCTATGGTGGAGAGTTTGGAATCTGATTGATTGATTGCTTCTGTGGACAGGTGTCTTTTATACAGGTAACAAACTGAGATTAGGAGCACTCCCTTTAAGAGTGTGCTCCTAATCTCAGCTCGTTACCTGTATAAAAGACACCTGGGAGCCAGAAATCTTTCTGATTGAGAGGGGGTCAAATACTTATTTCCCTCATTAAAATGCAAATCAATATTATAAAAATTTTGACATGCGTTTTTCTGGATTTTTGTTGTTGTTATTCTGTCTCTCGCTGTTCAAATAAACCTACCATTAATATTATAGACTGATAATTTTTTTGTCAGTTGGCAAACGTACAAAATCAGCAGTGGATCAAATACTTTTTTCCCTCACTGTACATACTATATACATTTTATGGACAATTTTACAATAATTATATTTTGTTTGTTTTTACTCCTGAACTTCCTCTACCCTCAACCTCTCCGATCATTTTCATGATGTCCATCCGGTTTGCTTCTATATGCCCTATCTTCCTAACTGTGCTCATTCACAAAAGCTCTCAACCTATAACCTACAGTGGGGAGAACAAGTATTTGATACACTGCCGATTTTGCAGGTTTTTCTACTTACAAAGCATGTAGAGGTCTGTAATTTTTATCATAGGTACACTTCAACTGTGAGAGACGGAATCTAAAACAAAAATCCAGAAAATCACATTGTATGATTTTTAAGTAATTAATTTGCATTTTATTGCATGACGTACGTATTTGATACATCAGAAAAGCAGAACTTAATATTTGGTACAGAAACCTTTGTTTGCAATTACAGAGATCATACGTTTCCTGTAGGTCTTGACCAGGTTTGCACACACTGCAGCAGGGATTTTCGCCCACTCCTCCATACAGACCTTCTCCAGATCCTTCAGGTTTCGGGGCTGTCGCTGGGCAATATGGACTTTCAGCTCCCTCCAAAGATTTTCTATTGGGTTCAGGTCTGGAGACTGGCTAGGCCACTCCAGGACCTTGAGATGCTTCTGGTCGTTGTCATGCTGGAAGACCCAGCCACGACCCATCTTCAATGCTCTTACTGAGGGAAGGAGGTTGTTGACCAAGATCTCGCGATACATGGCCCCATCCATCCTCCCCTCAATACGATGCAGTCGTCCAGTCACCTTTGCAGAAAAGCATCCCCAAAGAATGATGTTTCCACCTCCATGCTTCACGGTTGGGATGGTGTTCTTGGGGTTGTACTCATCCTTCTTCTTCCTCCAAACACGGCCAATGGAGTTTAGACCAAAAAGCTCTATTTTTGTCTCATCAGACCACATGACCTTCTCCCATTCCTCCTCTGGATCATCCAGATGGTCATTGGCAAACTTCAGAGGGGCCTGGACATGCGCTGGCTTGAACAGGGGGACGTTGCGTGCGCTGCAGGATTTTAATCCATGACGGCGTAGTGTGTTACTAATGGTTTTCTTTGAGACTCTGGTCCCAGCTCTCTTCAGGTCATTGACCAGGTCCTGCCGTGTAGTTCTGGGCTCATCCCTCACCATCCTCATGATCATTGATGCCCCACGAGGTGAGATCTTGCATGGGGCCCCGGACTGAGGGTGATTGACCGTCATCTTGAACTTCTTCCATTTTCTAATAATTGCGCCAACAGTTGTTGCCTTCTCACCAAGCTGCTTGCCTATTGTCCTGTAGCCCATCCCAGCCTTGTGCAGGTCTACAATTTTATCCCTGATGTCCTTACACAGCTCTCTGGTCTTGGCCATTGTGGAGAGGTTGGAGTCTGTTTGAGTGTGTGGACAGGTGTCTTTTATACAGGTAACGAGTTCAAACAGGTGCAGTTAATACAGGTAATGAGTGGAGAACAGGAGGGCTTCTTAAAGAAAAATTAACAGGTCTGTGAGAGCCGGAATTCTTACTGGTTGGTAGGTGATCAAATACTTATGTCATGCAATAAAATACAAATTAATTACTTAAAAATCATACAATGTGATTTTCTGGATTTTTGTTTTAGATTCCGTCTCTCACAGCTGAAGTGTACCTATGATAAAAATTACAGACCTCTACATGCTTTGTAAGTAGGAAAACCTGCAAAATCGGCAGTGTATCAAATACTTGTTCTCCCCACTGTATATACTTAGTATGGACACAGTATGCTTTACATTAGTTATCTTGTTGTTATTATTTGTTGTTAGTTGTTATTAGTCCCATCCTTCAGCTCCATACAACACCTCCCATCTATCTCTTAACACCATCCATATTGGATTTCTATTTGCCATATATTTTTCAACTGTACTGTGATGTTTCACAAAAGATCTGAACCCTTCTATTCTCATTGTTTCTACAGATTGTAAATTGAAACATTTTTGCTAAAAGTATTATTATATTATTGATTGATTGACTATGACTTTTCAGATCACCCAGTAGTGCTATCTGCAGGGTTAGCTCCAGGTAAATATTGCAATCCTTCAGCCATTCCTGTACCTGTGACCAAAAACAAGCTACAAATGGACAGTACCAAAACAAATGATTTAATGATTCTGTCTCATCTAAGAAAAATTTGCAGAGCTGGGAAGATTGTATCCCCCATATAAATAACATTCTATTGGTAGCAATAATTTTGTATAATAATTTAAATTAACAAATTTGAAGTTTTGAATCCGGCGTTGTTTTGCGTATCAGTTCATAAACACTATGCCATGGAATCGGTACGTCAAAAATCTCTTCCCAACTATTTTGCAATCTAAATTATATGGGACGGCTGTCACCCTTTGGTCCTGAAATGAAACTGGTATGCTTTTTTTATTCACCACAATTTTCTTTAACCAATTATGTTCTTTAATGCAGGGCCGACAGACAAGTTCCTTACTTTTCCCCCTTCCACTTTCCTCTTCCATTTTTGTGGTAATGCTGCAATTATTTGGTTGTAATTTTGGGTAGAGCAGACATTTCCATATGTTTTTGTTAGCTGCATGTGCGACATAACTCCACCAATCCTACCTATGATATCATTAACAAAGTTTATCAATTAGTATATTTGAGTTTAACCACAATATTTGTTGCATTATTTGTTCTGTCGTTTCTGGAGGATTAAATTGAAATTGCAACCAACTTTCTATGGCTTGTTTTAGAAATAGTGATATTTGGGAGATTTCTGTTTCAAATAACTGAAAGTTAATAAACCTGTTAGTCCCCTGAAAGTTAATAAACCTGTTAGTCCCCTGAAAGTTAATAAACCTGTTAGTCCCCTGAAAGTTAATAAACCTGTTAGTCCCCTGAAAGTTAATAAACCTGTTAGTCCCCTGAAAGTTAATAAACCTGTTAGTCCCCTGAAAGTTAATAAACCTGTTAGTCCCCTGAAAGTTAATAAACCTGTTAGTCCCCTGAAAGTTAATAAACCTGTTAGTCCCCTGAAAGTTAATAAACCTGTTAGTCCCCTGAAAGTTTGTCATTTTTTCTCTCACCCAGCCATCCAGGAGAAGCCATGCAGAAAGCACATCATGGAGCCGCCTGTGAACCACCAGGATACCAGGAAAGAGAACCTGTCCATGGGGACCCCGGAGACCAGCAGCAGCGTGGTGGAGAGTGACCTCTTACTTGAGGTGAGACAGAGTGGAGCAGAAGGGTCAGGCTGTGGTTTGCCCTCCCAAGAGATCACTGATGAGATGATAGGGAGTACTGATGTGGCTGGAAACAGAATGGGACATCATAGTCTTGTGCCCAGTTGGTGAAAGACTAGCTAAAGACTAACAAACCATAAATACAACATGTTCATTAAACAGAATTAAAAGCAGTCTGCCCTGACTGTGTTTTTTCTTAAAAGACACAATAAATACAATTGTTGAATGAAAAAGGACACAAAGTTGAATTTAGCCGCATTGATTATTTGAGGTTTAGAACATTTCTTGATGATATCGTGGCACAGCGGAGCTGCTTGGATGATGAGTAAGACCAACCCTCAGCCCTCCCTGTCCCAGAATACCCGCACTCCCCTCCCCGAACACCCATCCTCCCCGAACCCCCGCCCTCCCCTCCCCTCCCCGGACTCCCTCCCTCCCCTCCCACAGTAGTGTGACACCAAAGCAGCCAACCATGATGCTGCTGAATGAAGATCGTGACACGGTTAGGTCAGTATCACATCAGAGAGTGGGAAAAGGGGGCCCAGCTGACCTGGGCTGACTCGAATTAGACCGGAGGTGACAGGGCCTGGCACCACAATGTCAAACACAACAGCTCTAGTACCAGCCAACACAGGGAAGTCAATGAGGAACTCTGTGGTGTTTCCTCCCGTTCTCCCCGCTTCTCTCTTCAAATCAGGAGACATGAAGATAATATTTTGTATATTTAATTCCAATATCCATTCATTATCGGAAATAGAGATGTTGTATCAAAAGCATTTATCAATGAACTACTCATCAATGAAGTGCAATTGAAGTTTGTCCCCTGTGTGTTTTTAGTACACACACAGAGTATGAATGAAATTTATTATTTCAGTTTTAAGGCAAACAAAACATTGACTTTGGTAAAGACTAAGAAACATGGAAATACTGAAAGTTTTGAAAAGTATAAGAAATACAGAAGACAAATATACAGAATATTTTCTGATTCAATTGAAAGATGATATCCTGAATTCTTGTTCAGACTTTTGACATTACTGTTAATGCCGTTGTGTTGTGTATTAACATGTGTGCCTGTCTCTTGTGTCTTCTAGTCCCTGACTGGGTTTGCCTTGGTGGTGAGCACAGACGGGTTGATCTTCTACACCTCCACTTCCATTGTTGACTACTTGGGCTTTCATCAGGTATGTTTCAACCACACCTTGCATTCTCAAAGTCATGATAAATCAGAATTCACCTTGATATTGAGGGTCAATGATCAATCAAGTCGTAATAAAGGTAGTTGAAATACAGTACCATTGTACAAGCCTTTCATAGAAAATTACATTCTGAGGAAAAATTATACAGCATTGTAAAACTGTTTTATAGTAAACCACCAACAATATAAAAACAAAACAAAATTTACATAAAATAGTTTTTAATATAAGGCCATGCATGCCCTTTTAGTCATTAAACAAAACAAAACAGAAATCAAACTGGTTGAAAGAAAAATATTTGTATGACCAACCAAGTCAAAAGTTTAAAATAGCCAATCGTGTAATTCACAGGATTTTAATGACAATATTCTAGTTCTAGAAGCAAACAGAGCTGGAACTTTTCCACTTAATTTACTTTACAAGTTTGTAACTGTCCTTTTTGAGTGAATAGCTTTCTATTGGTCCTAATGAAAGCTGGGGTTTTAACATGAGAAGGAGACAAAAGAAACAGTTGATCGCTCATCTGATGGGAATTGAGATGGTGCTGCTGTGTGTTCAAAAAACAGGGCTCTTCACAGGGCAAGTGTTCAAAGCGTTGCATGCCAAAGAAGCGTATATTATGGGAAGGTTGAATATTTTAGTGGGAGTCTGTCGTTTTATGAACACAGGGTATAGCTGAGATGGGGAAAAAAGAGAGGAATTACGAGTGTGGGCTGGGGTTGCAGGGTTTTTCATCAGGGTAGTGTTGCGTCTGTCCTCATGCAAGCAGCTCTGGTGTCACGCAAAGCAAAGCACAAACAAGGCAGCGAGGAGGGCGGTCCATTATCCCACCGACTGAGGAGAGGGGAGGCCGGGGCCTATAATACATGCAAACTGCAGGGAGTCATATTTGAAAAAAAATGTATGCCATGTTTTGAATCAAGATCTCCCACGTAGATCTAATTGGTGGGGAGGGATTCTGAGTGAACCCAGTCAGTCACAGAAGGCCCTCCGTCCCTCCCACACCCTTCTGGTCAGTGGGGGGAAACCGGAAAACAGAAGTGTTAAGTTCTCAGTGGGCTCGCTGCAGGCTGACACTTGCGGTGTCTGTCTAGATACCTCTATGGCATCTGCCCATAGATGTGTTTCACCCGACCGTGACACAGGTTAAGTGGGGAGGTGACTGCGTTGACCAAACACAATGGATGGGTAACTGTGGAGGTTAATTGGTGGGAGGGCTGAATGTTTGATGACTTGTTCCTCCTCTCACCACTGCTCCTCCCGTCTCCTCCCCTCTCCTCCCTGTCCCGTCTCCTCCCCTCCCCTCCCCGTCTCCTCCCCTCTCCTCTCCCTCTTCTCCCCCGCAGACGGATGTGATGCACCAGAATGTTTTTGATTATATCCATGTGGAGGAGCGGCAGGAGTTCAGAAGACAGCTCCACTGGGCCATGAACCCCGGGCCCCAGGGGGCCTCCCTGGACCAGCACTCAGCCACAGGAACTGGTGTGTAGATCATTACCATCAACAGAACCTCTGTCACTCTGTGCAACTGCTAAAGGCTGCAGGAAAGCCCCTCATCATCACATGCAACTTGTCATTTACATTAGTTTCCATTCATGACCATTTTGAAGAGGGACAAAGGGATTAGTACATTAGTTACTGTATACAAGACACATAAAGAAATGATACTGTATTTTATTCGTACTTTTCAATACTCTCCTAAAACCCCTCAGTAATATTGGTGGTTAGAAGACCAAAACAAATATAAAGTAGGGTATTTATTACATAGTTTGTACTAACAGAAATGCTGTGGCTGTCCTGTAGGTGAAGACTTTGTGATGAGCAGTCTCTTCAATGCCCAAGAGCCTGATGGTGTTCCTCTAGAGCTCACCTCCTTCCTCACTCGCTGTTTCATCTCCCGCGTCCGTTGCCTGCTGGACAGCACCTCAGGCTTCCTGGTGAGTGAGTACCTCAGCTCACACAAGTACCTGACAATATCCACTCTTTTACAAACGGCATTGACCATTATGCTCCACGCAGTATGAAAGTCAGTTCTGGTTTGTGGGAGTTCTATTCAGTAATGTATGTGCACTTGCTCCTTTGGGGTGTAGGCTAGGTTATGTTACTGTGAAGCACAGATACTGTGAAGAAAGCTGTTGATGTTAAAAGGGCTTTATAGTTCACTTTGATTTGATTGATTGGTTGATTGATTAGTTGATTGATTAATGTTTGGCAGAGCATGCAGTTCCAGGGCAGCCTGAAGTTCCTGCAGGGCCAGAAGAAGAAGACAGACTCCGGGGCGCTGCTGCCCCCCCAGCTGGCCCTGTTCTGTGTGGCCGTGCCCCTCATGATGCCCTCCATCACAGAGCTGAAGATGAAGAGCATGACGATCAGGAGCAAGAACAAGGGCCCCGTCATCACCACTCCAGATAAGCACAGGTAAGCAGTACTGTGGGAGTGGTGAGCATGGGGAGAGCTGAGCAGTAAACATTATTTCTCAAATACTGTGTGTCTGTCTATATCATGGTTTTACTAAACACTTTTTGAAGGAGCCAGGCATTGACACCATTTAGTTTACAATCAATTTACAATTCAAGGCATGTTTATTACAGCATCAATTTCAGAATCAAATCACTGGGTATGCTGAATTCGGTCAAATTAGTACTTCATACTGTAAATGTACACAACTAGAAGATTATATCATGCATACATGACCATGGATACATTTTCCTTAGCCATTTTCCTAAATAAGGGAATGCTGTCTGTAATCTCTTTGTTTGTGTTCCCACAGTGATAAGAGGCATCGCTCCACCAGAGGTTCATGTGACAGCAGTGACTTACTGCTTCTGAATTGGTCCAGCAGCGCTACCAGAGACCCCTGCCACTACACCCCATGGACACCCCTCTCCAAAGACGGCATCAGGTACGGGAACAATGGCTACTACACCCAGGAGGAGCCCCTCAACTTCTGCCTGTCTTCCATGGGTGGTGGGCCCAAAGCTCAGAGCGTGAATCATCCATGTGACATCCGCACAGGGTCCGCCATACGAAAGGGCCCCAGCGGCAGCTACATACCAGGCAGACAAGGCAAGTACAACCACCTGGGGAAGTCTGGAGCTTACAGGATGTCTCCAGGATATCATGCTAAAAGACAGGATGCCTCTCAGAACAAACTGTACGGAGGCCTCCACAACCCAGAGGTGGAGAGCTACTGTGAGGACGGCATGAAGGCAGACAACAGGTACATGGGCGGCCATCTTGACTGTTACAATGGCATGGTGTTGCCTGAGACAGCCATAAAGACAGAGCAGGACTCTGACTCTGAGAACGGTTGCAACATCTACAGCATGCCCCACAACGGAGCCTGGGTGGGGAACGAGAAACACTACAGCATGGGCTACTCAGAAGAACCACAGGTGAAGTCAGAGGCTGACTACTACGACCAATACACCACCTGCCAAAGGAACAAGTCCAGCATGAGCCCAACGCTCAACAGACACCACAAATACTTATATCCAGCGGGGAGCAGGGCTCAGAAGGATCATAGGATACCTCACTCAGACCCTCTGTGTAGCAGTCAGGGAGCAAACTGTATGGACAGCAATGTATATGGGAATGGTAATGTGGAGCGTAAAGGCTACATGCAGCAAGACAAACTGAACTACGAGTTCAGGAATAATCTGGTCCACTCTATAAAGAGGGAACCCATGGACTCACCTCCTTGGTCTGACAATGGCCGTGACATTAGCCAAATACCCCTGCAGAGAAATATGATTCCCAACTGTGCATTGAATGATATTGTACACAAACCAAACCCATATATCTACATGCAATGAGCTCAATGGAAAATCTCATAAACCATCTGGGCACCACCTTGCTTCTTTATTGTATTGATGCATAATATGGCAGGGTGGGTAGTTATTTACACTCAACTCAGGTAATCAACAGTGTTACAAAGCAAAAAGATATGGAAGCAATGGAGAGGTGTTTTTATAAGGACTTTGTACATAAGACACACAAGATAAATATAACCTTGTTCAGATTTATGTTTGTGTACTTTTTGTACATGTGTACAGTGGGGAAAAAATAGTATTTAGTCAGCCACCAATTGTGCAAGTTCTCCCACTTAAAAAGATGAGAGAGGCCTGTAATTTTCATCATAGGTACACGTCAACTATGACAGACAAATTGAGAAAATCCAGAAAATCACATTGTAGGATTTTTAATGAATTTATTTGCAAATTATGGTGGAAAATAAGTATTTGGTCACCTACAAACAAGCAAGATTTCTGGCTCTCACAGACCTGTAACTTCTTCTTTAAGAGGCTCCTCTGTCCTCCACTCGTTACCTGTATTAATGGCACCTGTTTGAACTTGTTATCAGTATAAAAGACTCCTGTCCACAACCTCAAACAGTCACACTCCAAACTCCACTATGGCCAAGACCAAAGAGCTGTCAAAGGACACCAGAAACAAAATTTTAGACCTGCACCAGGCTGGGAAGACTGAATCTGCAATAGGTAAGCAGCTTGGTTTGAAGAAATCAACTGTGGGAGCAATTATTAGGAAATGGAAGACATACAAGACCACTGATAATCTCCCTCGATCTGGGGCACCACGCAAGATCTCACCCCGTGGGGTCAAAATGATCACAAGAACGGTGAGCAAAAATCCCAGAACCACACGGGGGGACCTAGTGAATGACCTGCAGAGAGCTGGGACCAAAGTAACAAAGCCTACCATCAGTAACACACTACGCCGCCAGGGACTCAAATCCTGCAGTGCCAGACGTGTCCCCCTGCTTAAGCCAGTACATATGTCCAGGCCCGTCTGAAGTTTGCTAGAGTGCATTTGGATGATCCAGAAGAGGATTGGGAGAATGTCATATGGTCAGATGAAACCAAAATATAACTTTTTGGTCAAAACTCAACTCGTCGTGTTTGGAGGACAAAGAATGCTGAGTTGCATCCAAAGAACACCATACCTACTGTGAAGCATGGGGGTGGAAACATCATGCTTTTGGGCTGTTTTTCTGCAAAGGGACCAGGACGACTGATCCGTGTAAAGGAAAGAATGAATGGGGCCATGTATCGTGAGATTTTGAGTGAAAACCTCCTTCCATCAGCAAGGGCATTGAAGATGAAACGTGGCTGGGTCTTTCAGCATGACAATGATCCCAAACACACCGCCGGGGCAACAAAGGAGTGGCTTCGTAAGAAGCATTTCAAGGTCCTGGAGTGGCCTAGCCAGTCTCCAGATCTCAACCCCATAGAAAATCTTTGGAGGGAGTTGAAAGTCCGTGTTGCCCAGCGACAGCCCCAAAACATCACTGCTCTAGAGGAGATCTGCATGGAGGAATGGGCCAAAATACCAGCAACAGTGTGTGAAAACCTTGTGAAGACTTACAGAAAACGTTTGACCTGTGTCATTGCCAACAAAGGGTATATAACAAAGTATTGAGAAACTTTTGTTATTGACCAAATACTTATTTTCCACCATAATTTGCAAATAAATTCATTAAAAATCCTACAATGTGATTTTCTGGGAAAAAAATTCTCATTTTGTCTGTCATAGTTGACGTGTACCTATGATGAAAATTACAGGCCTTTCTCATCTTTTTAAGTGGGAGAACTTGCACAATTGGTGGCTGACTAAATACTTTTTTTCCCCACTGTACATTTACTTTTTTATCTGGTCTTGATTGTTAACTGTAAGGTACACATCATTTTGCATCTTGTGTGTACATATTTTATGATTTATTTGTGTGTTTTAACCAATGGTCAAAATGAAGGAAAACGTATTGGTTTTGACCCAGTAATTTGGAGTAGTTGTATAGCAGGCAGTTTACTGAACCAGTAACAATGGAAAGAGATGACATCCTTCCATTTTGGAGATAAACAAAGAAATGTGTATTGAATTCATACAATATGTGTTCTGAAATTCGGAACATGAAAATGGCTGAAGCTTTGAATGGCATCCGTAGCGCAGAAACATGGACATGAGCATGACATGCAGAACATACTGCAATTCACATATGACTTATTGATTTGTTTTTAAACACATTTCATAACTTCAAGTTTTTAAACCAAGTCATGTCATCAATCGTACAGTATTATTGAATGCAACCTTTATTCTTTGAGAGGTTGAATTAATGTATTATTTTAACAGTGAGTTTGTCATTTCTGTTTTGAAGACAGTATTATCAATTGAAATTTAACAAAGCTTCACTTAACAGCCATTTACACACATTAATGTCTAATGTGGTATCTGAACATAATAATGTACAAATGTATTGCACAGCAATTTATGTTTGTGGTCCAATGTTTGTAACATTTTGTAAAATTTTAGTACATTCAAAAGAAATGTTATGAACTGTAGTTCTGTTTTATGAAGCCAATGTTTTATTATATTTAGAAAAGAAAGACAAAAATACAGTATGTGAAATTATGACATGTTCCCTTTTGTATTCCATAGCTGCATGCAGCAATCTCTACAGCATTCTATTATGCCGTTTAAAAAATTAAATAATAATCTGTAAATTAATTTGTATTTCTTTCAAAACTATTCTACAAATGTTTATAATTTAATTGCAGACTTGTTTCTAAACAACTGTTGGTAACACTTTTTATTGTGTATTTTTTAGTATAAGTACTGTACACTGAACAGGAGTCAGAGGCGGACAGGGACCAGAAATTGGCCCTGGCATTTCCAACACACTGGCCTATTTTTATCCTTGAGGCCCCCACACTAATTTTTTTTGTGCCTTGAGGCCCCAACACCTGACATTTTTTTCTCCCTTGAGGCCCCCATTATTAGCCAGATAATAATCATTAGACAGGCCAACTGGTCTAAAAATTGAAGAGCCCACCCAGATGGCCAGTCCGCCCCTGACAGGAGTGAAACAAAAGGTTTGTAGTAATATAGTGTAACAATGAATAAATACATTAGCCTGCTTGTTGCACTGTAGGCACATTTTTCAGGAAGGATTACGGTCATACAAGTTTCAGATATAAATTTAATTCAACAGGCATCTAACATACAATTTTACGTTATTTAGCATAATAATATAAAACAGATAATACTCTTATTTATTTGAACACTGAAAACTATTGTTTACAGTTTAAAATAAATAGAGTATAATCTGTTTAATGATTTTATTGTGCCAAATAACGTAAAATTTTATGTTAGATGCCTACTGAATTTATTTGATGCTGTATTCAAGCAGAAGGGTATGCTATTTATGATGAGAATTTGTCTGCAAATAAACACTTTGCATTTAGTGCTTAGTACAGTTGGGGGAATAAAAACATTTTATGCGCCTACACATCGTAGCTAATGACTTGTATAAAAATCAAAGGGATCATAAAATAAAGTTTGGAGAAATTGCATACTCTGCCAAAAGTATGGGGCCCAGTGTAGCTCAGTTGGTTGGGCGGTTGTGGGTTCGTTTCCCACGGGGGGCCAGTATGAAACAATAATAATTATGAACTCACTAACTGTAAATCGCTCTGGATAAGAGCGTCCGCTAAATGACTAAAATGTAAATGTGAAAGTCGCGCACATATGATGCTCTCGAGCGCGCTGCTGTCAGCTGTTACTGGGCGGCGCACGAGAACTGTCAACCAGGAAAAGCAGTCGGTGGTTTTGAAATTAATATGATATAAATCCAACGACTTCTTACTTAAGCAAACGGATTATTGGAGGTGGTAAGATATTGGATTTGTTCATTTTACATTTCAAATGTGTTTTGTACACGGGATAGCGTTGTGTTTACTTATTGGGCTGTGTGTGTCTTTCCTCTCGCCGACCTCAGTAGTTAGCTAGCTAGTTATCTTGCTAACGTTATCTAGCTAGCTAGCTAGATAGTTTGGCTGCTAGCTGGCAAGCCTACCATGAAAATGGGCCGCTGCTTGCTAGCTAGTCAATAGTTACTGTACTCCAGTAAAATGCATTTTAGGAGAGACATTTGTCTTTGCTTCCAGCTTGTAGTTGCTAGCTAACGTTTTGCTGACATAATTGATGCCAGCAATAATAAGTAGCATTAGCCAAGGCTGCTAACGTTAGCAAGCAGGCTAACTAACTGTTGGTCTAGCTAACGTTACCCTGCTATGCAATGAGCATCAGCCCACAGACACTGTCAGTACCAATGGATTAATAACGTAATCGACCAGTCAATACAGTGCGTTTCAACATTTTGTTCGTAATCACAACGTGTAAAATTCAGTTTCGTAAACATCTTGATCTTTGACAGACACAACTTGCCGTCGTTGTCATGGAGGAGACGAACAGGGAGGCGGTTGCTACGGCCGTGCAGAGAGTGGCAGGGATGCTGCAGCGCTCGGACCAGTTGGACAAAGTGGAGCAGTACCGCCGGCGAGAGGCCCGCAAGAAAGCTTCAGTAGAAGCCCGACTGAAGGTAGAAAATGATGACTCTAAGAAGACATGAGATACATTCCTGTACTACCCTATTATTCATAAAGCCCTAACTATTGTCTGAATGAAAGGTGTATATTTATTGTAAATACATGGCTCTGGCCTGAAGCACCTTACATGGTCTCTGTCACTCTCCCCAGGCTGCCATCCAGTCCCAGTTGGACGGGGTCCGCACAGGGCTCAGTCAGCTCCACAATGCCCTTGGGGATGTAAAGGACATCCAGAACTCCCTAGCAGACGTTAGTAAGGACTGGAGGCAGAGTATCAACACTATTGAGAACCTGAAAGATGTAAAAGACGCCGTGGTCCAACACAGTCAGCTTGCCTCAGCCGTGGAGAATTTAAAGAATATCTTCTCAGGTACGCTACAGAACTACATACCTCAGAGATACCACTTAATTGGAAACTGTTATTGTTGTCTCGCTGTGCATTTGTGTAATTACTGTCTGTATTGTTACAATATATCATTAATGTATATCATCCCCTTCCTGTGCAGTGCCTGAGATAGTGTCAGACACCCAGGTGCTGATTGAGCAGGCCGAGCTGCTAGAGGCCCACCGTAAACTCATGGATCTGGAGTGTTCGCGGGACGACCTCATGTACGAGCAGTACCGAATGGACAGCAAAAACACTCACGACATGAACCTGATCCGCAACTACTTTGGCGAGGTGCAGGGCCTGTCTGACGATCTGGCCAAGCAGCTGTGGATGGTGCTACAGCGTGCCATGGGCACGGTGCGCCGTGACCCCACCATGCTGGTCTCAGTGGTGCGCATCATTGAGCGTGAGGAGAAGATCGACCGGCGCATGCTGGACCGCAAGAAGCAGACAGGCTTTATCCCCCCTGGTCGGCCCAAGAGCTGGAAAGAGAAGATGTTTGAGGTGCTGGAAGGCACAGTCACAACGCGTATCGAGGGCAGCCAGTCGGTGACTCGCGAGGCAGACAAGATGTGGATGGTGAGGCTGCTGGAGATCACTAGGAGGTACGTGCTGGATGACCTGATTGTGGTGAAGAACCTGATGGTGCAGTGCTTCCCGCCACACTACAACACCTTCGACAGGTTCTTTAAGCGCTATCACAACGCCGTGTCCATGCGGGTGCAGGAGCTGGCTGCAGAAGACCTAGAGGCCAACGAGATTGTGTCCCTCCTCACCTGGGTCCTCAACACATACAAAAGGTATCCTGTCTTGGCCCGTGTTCACTGAGTTTCAAAGTAGGAGTGCTGATACATGATCAGTTTAGCCTTTTAGATAATGGTGAATAAGATTATATGGATAGGGGGAGCCTGATCCTAGATCAGCACGCATTTTGAATACAGGTGAGGCTCTGATCTTCCCTCTCTGTGACTGCTGTCACATCAGTGATAACTGGGCACCAGTCCAGTCATAGCTCAGTGGAATATGCAGGAGTTGTAGTACATTAGCTCTGCGCTGCTGCTACCCGTTTAGGCGGCTGAATATCTTTATGGACATTGTTGTCATAGTTATACCATTCATTCCATTTTAGGAATATCTTGTTTGAATTTACAATGTGAAGAGTTGAACGCTAAGGAGAGGGAGAGGAGGTATTCCCATTGTAAAAATGTTGGCCTGCACCATTTTAACCTCTCGTGTGTGTGTGGAGTGTTAACTTGTCTCGTGTGTGTGGAGTGTTAACTTATTGCGTGTGTGTGTGGAGAGGTAACTTATCTTGTGTGTGGAGAGGTAACTTATCTTGTGTGTGTGTGGGGAGAGGTAACTTATCTTGTGTGTGCGTGGAGAGGTAACTTATCTTGTGTGTGCGTGGAGAGGTAACTTATCTTGTGTGTGCGTGGAGAGGTAACTTATCTCGTGTGGGTGTGTGTGGAGAGGTAACTTATCTTGTGTGTGTGGCACGAGAGAGAGGGCATGGCATGCGAAACTGGTGTGGATAATCCAATGAATACACATACTACTGCACATCGCGTGCAACAACAGGTTTGAACAGAGAAAGATTAATGAACAGCTAGCTCCCTTATGCACATTGAAAACACAAAGAACTAGCCTTATATCCAATTCTGACACGAGCATCAGCCTGTTGTGCATTAGGCTACCATGGAAACCACAACCACCGATTGGCTGGGGCTGTTTAATTATAGATATTCACTCAGCTTTTCTGTGAGTGTGTGTGTGTTTCTGAGTACGTGTGTTTACGTGTGACTGCTTGTGAGTAGCCTATGTTTATGGGTATCTGTGTGTATCATTTATATTCAGGCATTGCTGTAGTTCAGGGATTGTCAACTAGATTCAGCCGCGGGCCGATTTCTTTTTTTCTGGAGGGGATGGTGGGGGGGTACATAATTGCAATTTGACCGCAAGAAGCCCAAACAGATATAATGTTTGATTAAAACATAGTCATCTATTATGCGTGTGAATACTTGGGAACAGATGTTTTAAATTAAAATCTATTGGAGCTGATTTCCTGGTGTTTTTACAGTATTTTATGTCCAACAATGAAATTCCACACTCAGAAAACTTGGGGTGACAAATAAAACCACCCCCGCGGGCCGCCAGTTGGGGAACCCTGCTGTATGTGCACGAGCATGCCATGGTGTGTAGGTCTGTCTGTAGCTGTCTGTCGGTCTGTTACGTTAAAAGACATGCAATATTAATGTCCACGAACAGTATAGTACAGTCAGGGTTCTCTTGCCATATTCCCACACACCACTGTGTTCCAGTGAGGAGATGATGGGTCACCCAGAGCTGCTGACAGAGTATGACATCAACCTGATGGATCCTCTGCTGCCGCAGGAGGTGGTGGATGAGCTGCTCAGCAAATACCTCCAGACCTTCACTGTGAGTCCAGACAACACACACACTAAGATAGCAGCGACATACTCTACGACAGCTCCTGTCAGATATACAACCCACTGTCTGCGTCTGTAAATCTGGATTTGCAATTCGAAAGTCTTTACAAGGGAATCCGCCTTTTAATGAAATGTTTCATGAATTGTTAAAGACAAAGGTAACAGGGCTCTGGCTGACCCTCTCTAACCCTTCAACAGTCCAACATCACTGGCTGGCTGCGCAAGGCTCTGGAGACAGACAAGAAGGACTGGTTTAAAGAGACAGAACCAGAGGCGGATCAAGACGGGTACTACCAGACCACCCTCCCCGCCATCGTCTTCCAGGTATAACCAGTATCCACCTCTCTTTATCCACCTCTCTTTATCCACCTCTCTTTAACCCACAACTTTACAAAGTGGACTAGTTGCTACCACAGTAAGGTTACTATACTAGACAATGTTATAGCCTTATTCTAAAATTGATTAAATAAAAACAATATCTCAGCAATCTACACACAATACCCCATAATGACAAATATTTTTGCAAATGTATTAAAAATAAAAAGCATAAATAACTTATTTACATAAGTATTCAGACCCTTTACTATGAGATTCGAAATTGAGAAGGGCCTTTGGTCAGGGAGGTGACCAAGAACCCGATGGTCACTGACAGAGCTCCAGAGTTCATCTGTGGAGATGGGAGAACCTTCCAGAAGGACAACCATCTCTGCAGCACTCCACCAATCAGGCCTTTATGGTAGAGTGGCCAGACAGAAGCCACTCCTCAGTAAAAGGCACATGACAGCCCGCTTGGAGTTTGCCAAAAGGCAACTAAAGACTCTCAGACCATGAGAAACAAGATTATCTGGTCTGATGAAACCAAGATTGAACTCTTTGGCCTGAATGCCAAGCTTCACGTCTGGAGGAAACCTGGCACCATCCCTACTGTGAAGCATGGTGGTGGCAGCATCATGCTGTGGGGATGTTTTTCAGTGGCAGGGACTGGGAGACTAGTCAGGATTGAGGCAAAGATAAACTGAGCAAAGTACAGAGAGATCCTTGATGAAAACCTGCTCCAGAGTGCTCAGGTCCTCAGACTGGGGGCGAAGGTTCACCTTCCAACAGGACAACGACCCTAAGCACACAGCCAAGACAATGCAGGAGTGGCTTCGGAACAAGTCTCTGAATGTCCTTGGGTAGCCCAGCCAGAGTCCGGATTTGAACCCGATCGAACATCTCTGTAGAGACCTGAAAATAGCTGTGCAGCAATTCTCCACATCCAACCTGACAGAGCTTGAGAGGATCTGCAGAGAAGAATGGGAGAAACTCCCCAAATACAGGTGTGCCAAGCTTATAGTGTAATACCCAAGAAGAATCAATGCTGTAATCACTGCCAAAGGTGCTTCAACCAAGTACTGAGTAAAGGGTCTGAATACTTTTATATAAATGTAATATTTCAGGGTTTAAAAAAATATAAATTAGCCAACATGTCTAAAAACCTGTTTTTGCTTTGTCATCATGGGGTATTGTGTGTAGATTGAGGGGGAAAAAACGATATAATCAATTTTAGAATAAGGTTGTAACGTAACAATGTGGAAAAAAGTCAAGGGATCTGAATACTTTCCGAAGGCACTGTATATGACAATTGGGATCTTAGAATTGCCTGAATAAATACTACAGCGAGTCACTAGTGTGTACTTTAAAGGGGTCATCATCTGACATATGTTTGTTCTTCTCTCCTCATCAGATGTTTGAGCAGAATCTCCAAGTGGCAGCCCAGATCAATGAGACATTCAAAGAGCAGGTCCTGAAGCTCTGTTTAAAACAGATGAATTCGTTTCTCGTCAGGTAACATGGGTTTCATAATGTTGTGTTAGTAATTGTGTAGTGTTTAGTTGTTTACATTGATGGCAGTAAAGGTGTGTTACACTATACCAGGGATGGAATGCTTTGTATTTGACATCTACAATTGTCTTGCATTTCTGTTCAGGTACAGGGAAGAGGCAATTGCCTACAAGGAGGACCACTTGAGAGACCGGCAGCTCCCTCAGTGCTACGTCCAATACATGATCGCCATTATAAACAACTGTCATACATTCAAGTGAGTCCCATTGACATCTCCCTGTAAGTATGTCATTCTCTAACCTAATGTGTACCTAATCATACCTCTGCCCCTAGGGAGTCTATTAACAGTCTAAAGAAGAAATACTTTAAATCTACGGAGCCCACCCAGAATGACGCTGCCATAGAGAAGACCCTGAACGACGTGGCCAAAGATGGCTGCCAGTTTCTATTGGATGAAGTCTTTCTAGATTTGGAGGTTAGAACAGTGTTTGTGGACACATTTTTACCTCCTTAGTTAATCTGTCTAATATTTATAGACTTTCAGAATGTTTGCCATGAACCCGGTTATGTTGTATCTGGGTGATGATTTTGTGATAACATTTCATGGTTTTGATTTCTACAGCATCATCTCAATGAGTTGCTGACCAGGAAGTGGTTGACTGGGACCCATGCAGTGGACACTATCTGTGTGACAGTCGAGGATTACTTCAACGATTTCGCAAAGATCAAGAAGCCTTTCAATACGGTACATGGCAAAATCAATCAATTGATATCATATGAAATTAAAGGCTTGGCCAATTGATTGATATGGAGAAATCCACACAGAGAGCAGTTTTGCATGAACATCCTGTGTATGTGACTGAGTATGTTGTGTGATCTGTTTAGGAGATGACCAGCGAGGCCCATCGCAGGGTGGTGGTGGAGTATATCAAGGCTGTGATGCAGAAACGGATCACCTTCAAGAACGCAGATGAGAGGAGGGAGGGAGCAGACCGGATGATTAAGGAGGCTGTGCAGTTCAAGTTCCTCTTCAGGAAACTCACTGCTGTGAGTGGTTTTACATCTACCTGCTACCGGAATACTTTTTCCCTAGAAAGATCCGGATTAGAAACCACTGGCATCTTGATATCTTCTTAGTCAATTAGAGCAGTGTTTCCCAACCCTGGTCCTCCAGTATCCCCCAACAGTACACATTTGTATTCTAACCCTGGACAAGCACACCTGATTCAACTTGTCATCTAATCATCAAGCCCTCAATAAGTTGAATAAGGTGTGTTTGTCCAGGGCTACAACGAAACTGTGTACTGTTGGGGGTACTGGAGGACCAGGGTTGGGAAACACTGAATTAGAGTCCTAACTTCCCTGACTCTTGATGCTTACTCTACGTTTCATTCGTTCATTCAGTCATTTGATGTAATGAAGACTACTTTTCTCTGATAATTTCATCCAGTGTTAAAGTAATTAGTGTATAGTGTGTGTTTTGTACTGCTTGAAGTTATTTCTCATGTCCCCTTCCAGGGTGAGGAGACTGACCGGCTGTGTGATGCCATCGCTGCCATAGCCGAGGTGTTCAAACTCACAGACCCCACCCTGCTCTACCTGGAGGTCTCCACGCTGGTGTCCAAATACCCTGACATCAGGTCAGATCATACCCCACTTAACACACAGGCTACACAGAGAATGTTAGTGGGGTATCATGGTTTTCGATAGAACAACTTTGGCTGTAGGAGAAGTTACTCCAGATGTATACAATGTTTCGTTACTACTATAGATTTTCTGTGATAGCCATTGCTTTTGACACAGTGTCACAGTTATCCATGTAGGCCTACATGATTGTCCTGAAACTTCAGGGAAAAGGTGTCTGATTGTGTCTGTCCTCTGTTGGCCCATAGAGAGGAGCACATCGTGGCCTTGCTGGCGATGAGAGGGGATGCCAGCCGAGACATGAGGCAGATGATCATTGAGACGCTGAACCAGAACAAGCCTTCCTACGCTGGGATCACACAGCCCATCTTCAAGGACATTACCGTCCCCACGGTGACCATGACCTCCATGTCCTCATCTATGGCCGCCACTGCCAATAAACTGCTGAAATAACCAGTCTGGAGAAAGATGGAGACACACACCTGGGTTGTATTCATTAATGCACAACAGCAAAACGTTTTGCAACAGAAAATGAAAAGCGTTCCTTGTTGGACAAGTTTGGATAGTCCCTCCCTGTTTCAGTCGTTTTTTATTGTTTGGTGCCTAGAGAATACGACCTTGGCTCACATGGGCACAAAAAAAACAGACTGCAGCAAATCACTGAATCATGATTTTTCACTTTTTGCACTTGTGAATCCGATTCCACTAACATCCAATGAAAGGCTTGGACTGTAGTCCTTGAGGATCTGTAAGCCTTTGATACTTGATGAAAGAACCGTCGAACACTAACAAGCGGTTTTGTTACTGAAATGGGAACTTACTCTCACCACCACCCACCCCTCCATGTACAAGAACAGAAATTGTTCCAGTAAGAAACGTTGTCAGTGTGTGATGCCGAATGTCTGTTAGATGGAACATCTATTAAAGAAATCCTTTCCCCTGTCAGTCTGATTTCCTAATTTACTCTTCTGTCAGGGAGAGGTGTTGGCACACTGAAACATGCCAAACTACTGCACAGTGCACTCACACATGGAAACCCTGAATTGGTTGGCTGAGCTCATTTGAGGCCTGCTGTGAAAAAGCTTCAGTTAAGACATTACTTTGCAGAAGCTCCTGTCTGCCTGCCTGCATCCTTCCTCACAACAACACCATCAAGATCTCCTTCATTATCTTGCTCTCTGTCCATGTGTGACTCCGTTGCAGCATGCTGCCTCTTGATTTAAGAGGTATGGGTACTCTCCTCTTTCCTTGCCTGTGTAAAACCTCTAAATGTTTAATCTGGCTGCACGCTATCTGTTGTGTGACTAACTGAGCAGCGGAAGGGGAAAGGCACAAACAGCCAGAGGGGCCACCACCCTGGGTGGGGTAGCACAGCCTAGTGGAAGGAGAGAGGGGGAACCACAGTGACAGCTGCAGGGGAGGGGGAGGGGCCAGCGTTTCAGTGGTGTTAGTAATCCCTTCTCCAGAATGTTGCGTGACCATTCATAATTGTTATGGGCTCTGTCCCATTGGCTCTCTGTGAGTTTAGAAACACCCACTGCAAGCTGTGATTGGTGTTCGTTTTGAAACGGGTAGCTTTGTGATATTGAGATTTAAATGTAATTTGTATACTTTCATTAAAATTAGGTTGTCCCAAACTAAACATTTTAAGTTTAAATTTGTAGGAGTAGGTATAATGGGGGTACTAAACATGGCTTTCCGCTTTCTCCATATGCTTCAGTGTGGTCCAATGAGAGGGCTGCGTTTGCCATGCTGTGACTGGAAACAAGGCCATTCAGGGCTGCAGCTGACTGGAGCATGCAAGCCTGTGCGCTCGCATGGCACACACACATCAGCAGGCCAAAACCCTGGGTTACACACACGCCAAGGGGCGGGGCTAGGCGCCGGGTTCAAACGAGACTACTGGGCCAAACGTTCTCGAACGTTGCAGATAGAAAGGCCATGAATAGAGCTGATGTGATTCTTTATTCTACATGTCAGAGGCATGTTTGATCTACATATCCTATTTCTATCTGAATGTTCCATCCTGCTGAACGTGCCCCTGGCAGCTCTGTCACGGAGTCATCAGTCACTCAATTGATCCACCACTCTTCTTTACACACAGCTCCAATGGCTGGCTACTAAAGCCTTGCTTTGAAAATGTCCTAGTGCTAACAGTATACTGTGTCTGGTCAACAGGATTTCACTGGCTTCAGTCATGATCTAAATAGGCTACAACTGATTAATTTAAGTCACAGAGGAAGCATGCTCAATGCATTTGGTATACAGAATACATTCTCAATGGTTGGCAGGATGATTACATTGAATTGTTGCAATTGTAGTGAAAGAAGTAATAGCCTTCCAGTTATACCTAGAGGTGTCTGGCTTACACATTTTACTATGCTCCATAAACCTGAACAGAATAATGAATATATGGGATTGTTCCGAGATTAAATCAGACTTCCTCTAGACATTGACTATTTGATAAAGCTCTATGCAATGCTGAAATACAGAAACCCCGTTTTTTGTTTTGATTTATTCAGAGACAACTCTGTCTGATCATCCACAGAGAACAGTAGTATTCTATTATTTTCAATCTGGACTCAATATCCCTAAAAACTCCCTTACTGCTCCTCCAATAAATACTGTTCTCATCAAGTGCAGGTTCTTTAAGTACAACATTGATATCTACACTTGACATACACTGCCACCTTCTGGCCGGTGACTGTACAATACAGAATTGATCTGACCCAGAACAGTGAAAAACATGAATACAATAGTAAATAGTCAAAAGCATTGTTCAATGCAGATAACACTGAGAAGACCTTAGATATTCAATATCTAAGGATAAAAAAACGTTGAAGAATTTGTTTTGCATACTGATATACACTGAACAAAAATATAAACACAACATGTAATGTGTTGGTCCCATGTTTCATGAGCTGAAATAGAAGATCCCCGAAATGTTTCATACACATTACATTTACGTCATTTAGCAGACGCTCTTATCCAGAGCGACTTACAAATAGGTGCATTCACCTTATAGCCAGTGGGATAACCACTTTACAATGTTTTTTTTGTTGTTGTTTTTTTTTTGGGGGGGGGGGGGGGGGGGGGGGGGGGTAGAAGGATTACTTTATCCTATCCCAGGTATTCCTTAAAGAGGTGGGGTTTCAAATGCAGTGGCGGCTCCTGAAAAAATTCTCAGGGGGGGCAATTTTTCTGATGATTTAGGTGACCTACACACATTTTCAAAAAGATATGTCCAGCAACAACATGAAGACAGGGGCAGCATATAAGTCAATGCCAGAAGCATTTATTGACTGATCTCAAAAGTGTTGGCTTACAAAAGCAAAATAAGTTATCACAGTAAAAATAATCAAGGGTGTTCTTTCACATTCCTCAACACTGCATAAACAATATGCATTTCCATAAACAAATGAAATATCAGCTGAAAATACAGCATCTTGGTATTTGTTCAGATTGCAGGATCAACAACAGCTTTTACCACATTTTTTGCCTCATGGTTGAATTGGAAATATGTGCACCTGAGCATAATTCACAACAAGCAAGCAGGAGCTTTTGATAGAGGCTACTGAAAACATTGATGCAAGTTATTGGTAATAAGAAATTTTTATAGACTTCCATATTCTGCCCTCTTGTATATATTTGTGAAAATGAACAGTGATAGACATTTTGCCTGAAAACAGAATTTGAAAATAATTTATAGAAAAGGTAAACACAGCTATCTGTATGGCTTTGTAAAAATGAACAACCATATTCTGGCCAATTGTATAGATTTGTAAATATGAACAACCATATTCTGGCCAATTGTATAGATTTGTAAAAATGAACATGAACAGATTATTTTATTTTTTTTACTTTTTTTTAAATGAAAAATAACTATTTTAAACAACATCAACTGTGAACTGATTTGGGCGTGTGTGTGTTAAAGAGACAGACCGGGAGGGACAAAGAGAGAGAGAGGCTACATTACTTGTACTGAAACTGTTCTCTTCTCTCTTTCAATGCAGCAAAGCGGTCAATGACTTTCTCATTGAAATCAGGCATGCTGAGGACTAGTTCCCTCTCCATGGAAAGCATGGCCAGTGCATTCAGACGTTCCTGGCCCATTGAATTTCGCAGGAATGTCTTAACTCGTGTCAAAGTTGAGAAACATCTCTCAGCTTCAGCTGTTGTCATTGGAGTAGTTATGAGGATGTTCAACAGAGTCACAGTCTCAGAGAACGTCTCCTGGAGGTTGTAGCTCATGAGAACCTGGTACAGTGCCAGTGCACCACAGTTTGACTTTCTCGTCGTCGGCAAAAATACCGTTCAGTCTCTCCAAAAGCACACTGGCGATTGAGACTGAGGTTGATTCCGAGATGGGAAGGAACTCAAAAAAGCGCTCCTGCACTTTGTGGTTGCTATCTATGTTCCTCAGCACAAGCACCAGCTGTGTCTGTGTAGAAACGTCCGTGGTCTCGTCAGCTTGGATAGCTACGAAGTTCGCCGACTTCACCTCCTCCACAATATGTTCCCTCATGACCGCTAGCATACACTCCAGTAGCTCGTTTTGAATGGTCTTTGATGTGAACTTCTTTCAAAGAGACAATCGAGTTGCACTGAACGTTAGCCATCTTGATAGTAGTACGTCAATTGATTGACGCTGCTACCCGCTCTTTTCTTAGTTACGTTCATGGTTATGTTACGTATGACGAAAGCGCGTAAGTGCAAGCCCTCAGAAACCCATAGAGATTGTATTGAAAGCTCTGATATTTGAATGTTTTTTTTTTTACATGAGAGTCTATGAGAGACTTCTGGGGCGATTTTCAACCTGACTGAAATCGCCCCAAAAGGGGGGGGGGGGGGGGGGGGGGGGGGGGGGCAGGCATTTGAAGCACGACTTTAGCCTGATTGGACATTTAGTGGCAGATCAGACGTCTAGATTAGAACACTGATAACTACTGTTGCCGTGATATAATTGATTAGAAAAAAATCCCTTCCTTTTCCCGTTTGGCAGTGCGTCGCCCATATCGCCCTAATGAACACACCAGAGGTGGGACAAAGTCATTGTTATGCAAGTCACAAGTAAGTCTCAAGTCTTTGCCCTCGAGTCCCGAGTCAAGTCGAGTCAAAGATGAGGCAAGTCCCAAGTCGAGTCAAAAGTCAAAGCCATCAAGTCTCAAGTCGAGTCCAAGTCCTACCATTTTAGTTTCGAGTCATTTCAAGTCCTCTTACCACAGAAATAAAATGTATACAAATCATGTATGTCTGTAAGATTTGTATTTATTTAAACCTTTTTATACAATAACATTAATCAAATACAGCAAAAAACATAACATTTAATTTTCACACAAAAAATGCTTGTATTTGAACAGCATATTGCACTAGAACAATGCAGAGAGAGAGAGAGAGAGAGAGAGAGAGAGGAGAGAGAGAGAGAGGGAGAGAGAGAGAGAGAGGAGGAGAGGAGAGAGAGGAGAGGAGAGAGAGGGAGAGAGAGAGAGAGGAGGAGAGAGAGAGAGAGGGAGAGAGAGGGAGAGAGGAGGGAGAGAGAGAGAGAGAGGAGAGAGAGAGAGAGAGAGAGAGAGAGAGGGAGAGAGAGAGAGGAGAGGAGAGAGAGAGAGAGAGAGAGAGAGAGAGAGAGAGAGAGAGAGAGAAAATGGTTTACGGGGAAGGACAAACACCAAAGCTCTGGAAGTAAAAACAGTGTGGGAACCTGCACTGCAAATGAACAGATCTTACTCCATGTGAAACTCCTACCACAGGAGAGAGAGAGCTGTGTGGACAGGTGATGAGCAGAGAGTGAGTGTGTGTGCGCGCATGCGTGCTGTGGACAGGTGGAGGGAGGCCCCTATACTGCATTGCATTTGCAAAAGATCAAATTGGCCAAAAGTCTGTCAGTCATTTGTGCACGATGGGGACGCAGAATGATGCCACCATGGCTGAAAACTCGCTCCACT